TTAATACTTCTAAATACAGTAAAATAAAAAGGCGTTTAGCATTTATTAAAGTATATTCCACTGCGTGTCCTAATGCCCCACCCATAAAACCCTATAACCGCCGTTTTTGTAGGAAAAAATGCAGGGAGTAGGGGTTAATGAGTGGGCCTACATAAGATTCTCTTGCCCTTGAGTGCTTCCAAGACTTCATCTGAAAACCCACTGAATAGAACGTACTTCTAGTTGATATTGGCTGTAATCATAAATACTTGAACTAAAAACTACTTACAATCAATGGGCCAAATTATTTAACCAGCGATTTTGATAAGAAAGTTGCTTCATGATTAGTAGAACATTAGTCGATAAAAAGTATGCTCCTTTGGGATCGGTCGATAATCAAACGATTAGTGAGGCCTGCTTTGGACTTACAAGCCTGGAATAAGAAAAAATAAATGTTCAGGAGATATGCACCTACCCTCATTTGCGAAGACGTTCTTCCACTCACTATCGGTTTCCTTCTAATCTTGGGTTTGATGGGCCTGCTTTGGGCTTCTGGCTTACCATCGAAATCAATAACGCCGTAATCAACCGGTTCGACCCCCGGAGGGGGCGAAGGTGACCGTTCAAGGGAAATCAAAAGTACTCGACGCCGTTTGCACTCCGATCCGGGCTGCTTAAGCATTTTCTTGAGACTCAATTTCCATCGGTAGTTGGATGCTTGCTGGAGGGGAATCGCTTATTAACTGATGTTTGAAGGATTCAAATTCCAGCTCAATCTTCTTCAGTTTTTGTAATTCCCTTTCGTGTGCCGAAACCTTCTCGCCCAGCTGTTCCTTGTTCAGCCGTAGGCTGTCAAGTTCTTTGCGAAGGCTACCAATAGTGTCTGTATTTTCTTGTATTTTATTAGCCTACAATCATGAGTAGTTTGAGAATAATCATCATACCTTCTGTTCATTCTCCTTCTCCAGTTTTTTCATCCGCTGGGTCTTCATTCTCAGTTGCTTGGACAGTTCCTTATATGTGTGCGTAAGAGGAGAATAATTTTACAGTGTGTTGAAAAGGCAACATTTTGGTTGATATAAGTAACAGTTCATAGGTTACTAATACTATGCACTGAATTGTAGTTGATATTAGGAGCGCTGTTTGTAAGCGATCAAATGAAATATAGTGTTTAATGTCAGACATAAGTTTTCCGCTGGCTTCTAGATTTTATCCATAGTAAACAGTCTAGTTCTTTGCGCAGGCTAGCAAAAGTATCTGTAATTTCTTGAAATTTATTAGCCTACAGTCGTAAGTAGTTCGACAGAAATCATCATACCTGCTGCTTATTCTCCTTCTTCAGTTTGTTCAGTCGCTTGGAAAGTTCCTTGTATGAGTTTGTAAAGGGAGAATAATTTTACAGTGCGTTAAAAAGGCAACATTTTTGTAAATATAAAAGACAGTTCATAGGTTGCAAACAGTCTGCAGTTAATTGGTCTTGATAACAGGAGCACTGTTTTTAAGAGATCAAATGAAATATAGAACTCATACAAATAGATAAAATTTGACCTCAGACAGAAGCTATCCTCTGGCTTCCAGACTTTATCCAGAGTATAGAGCCACTGAC